TTAATCAACTGATAATAAATACCAATACATTAGTTATTATACTAATCATATTTTCTGTTTCCTCGACACTGTATAAAAGTAAAAGTTAAAAGTAAATTAATGTTTTGACTTTTGAACATAAAAAAATAATGGAAATGCTATGGTAATTTTAATTATTTATTAACTCTATTACGAATAATTAAATATTCATAATATATACTGATACAGAACAATAGATCCATTTTTAGTTTTTTATTGTTATTATTGGAAAAAAACTAAATTTGTCAAGAATACAACAATAGAATTAACAATCGTATTTACTAATAAAAAAGGTGCCTCTAAGCTATTTCATTATTTAACTTTAGATTCTATTCTATCATTTTTACCACTTAAATGGTAAATTTACTGATATTTTTTTACATAAATTCTCCATCTTTAATTTATACATACCGACAAATGTACAGAATGAAAACATTAGATCAGTAAATCAATATTGAACAGAATAATAAAATAATTAATACAACAACACTCACTGTAGACTAACGGGTTCCATCATCACCCATAAGCGATTTAATTTCAATGCACAGCATATTATTAAAAAAAAATGTAAAAAAAATAATATTAATTGTACTTTGTATTACAAAAAACTATCGAATAAAGAATCAGTAAAAAAGTGATACTTAATTAAACATTTTTTTTTTTTTAGAAGTGAGGAGAAAGGTAAAGTTTAAAAGTTGATAGTGACCCACTAAGAGCCTTGTGTATCTTTCATCCTATAGCTACTATAGCATCCTGGCCTACTATTATACTACAACACACGTCTTGGAAAACATTTTCGTGACTTTTGATCGTATACGTCGGTTGTTTTTCTATTGTAAGCTACATAATAATATTATCTCAACTGCGAATAGGCTCATCGTTATATTTCTCTTTCATATCGATCGCATTCACTGCCTTCTATATACCCGAAAGTTATGACTGTAAAACGTCAAAAACATTATCGACCGCGTTACGACCGCGATATCGCACCACGCAGTTATTTTAATTCTACAAAAACCACATGGAACATAATATTAAAACAATGATAATTTCAGAATAAAATATGTTTATAGCGCACACCTAACGATATCTATATAGGTACCGACAACACGCGACCGAATTCAAAATTAAAATATATTACCTATTCTACGATATTGATACAGCGTTTTATGTTAAACGCAAAATAACATAGACGAAACGCACGCAGACACGACGCCAAACTGTTATTGTAATAATTAAGTTGCACGAATGGCTGAGATAATATTATGATACATAATATTATTTATATGTGCGCAAAGGCAAAAGAAAAGTAAATACGACTCGCGTCAGAGTCAGATGAGTCGATGTATGGGTAAAAGTATACACCATGGGGTGGTGCAGAGGGTGGAAGAAGGGTTGAAAATAATATAATAATGGTCTTGACAGGGGTGACTTTTGATTTTCAGACGTCAGCCTATAGGTAATCGTAAATATTAGAAAATTTTTAATTTTGTTTTTCACGAACGTGCACCGTGGAAAACGTTCGGACTTTCGGCCATCAATAAATAATAAAAGTCTCAATTATTATGACTATTCCAAGTTCATGGGAGTAGGTATCGCGACGATGCGACGAGTGTGTTCAAGAATAAAATAAAACAAAACGATTTCGTGACCTCACATCGCGTTTGACCATTTGAAACATTAGATTCTTGAAGCGAGCCCCAGAGTGCTATATCAAAATACTCGGATATCAACCATTTCAGAAATAGTTTTTGTTCGGACATTTTAAAATGAAAACGATGGGTGGCCCATTTAAGTCAATAACGTTTTGTCAAATCAGAGAAAATCGTGATAGGGAGACAAAAATAACGAACATACATTATGCTCTGCATCTATATTATACACACAACCACAGCGCCCTGTATTTTGTTTGTGTGCGCCGATAATATTTAGGTAAAAATATAGCGATATTTGTACGAATAATTTAATAAGGTTTTTCGGTTTTTTTTTATGTTCCAGTCGCAGGGAGTATACCTACCTACGATGATAATATTATTACGTAGGTAATAGGTTTATGTGTGAGCGTAGGTAGGTAATCGATTGGACCATGAATTATTAATTTTAATCAGTGTTTTCATAAACGAGTAGAGTTTGATACGTAAGTCGTTTTGACGACGGTCTAATTATAAAAAAACAGAAATCCCATACATTTTTATTTTATGTGTGTATAATAATTCATTTATCTCCCTCGACCTCCCTCAGCTCGGGCCCAAGCTCTCCCCTCCCTCTCTCGCCTTCTCTCGTTATCCTGTGCTAGCAATGTAAAAAATTTAATAAAACATCGGGTCGACCAGAAAAAAAGATGAAAACACTAAAACCAAGAACCGCTCAAACTTCAAATGATATGGTACGGTCAACGAGCTCGACTTTAGGTCGAGTCTTATAAATAATTCCTCACTAAATTATCAACTATACTGGATTTATGGAGCATAATGTTATATTAATATATCGTTTTTTTTATTCACCACCGATTTACGGCGTAAGTTACTAATAATTATTATTGTTTATCGATCCGTCATGATAACTGATAATATTATTACACTAATCACTGTGTTAAACGATCAATATACAATTAAAAGCACTGTAGTTATATCGATGGCTAAGAGGCCAAAAGTTGTATGTCCAATTTTTCTCAAAATTGTTTTATTAGTTCATAGGGTTTATCTGGGTCGTCTTTTTGATTCGGTAAAACATTATAAGTCAATATCATGATTAAAACATGTTTTATTTATACTTTAATTTTTGTGTTTTTAGTGCAAGATATGTTTTTTTAGTGCACACATATAACAAGTCCTAATTTAATGAGACTTACGATAAATATTTTAACATTATCTAAATATTAAGCGGACAAATATAACAAGTCCGGACTTGTTACTTTTGTCAAAAACAAGTTATTGAATTTTGGACGTGTAATGTTTTAGATAATATTGAATTTGTTTATCTATTTATAAAAAAATAATATGTCCGGACGTATTATTTTAAATAATAAACATTTTTAATTTTAAATTACACTAAATAATATGATATCTTCACTTAGCATAAAATATCATTAAACCCTGGTTTTATTTGACTAAAAATTTGATGAAAAATGCTACTTTATTATTTTTCACATTCAATAAAAAATTCCAATATATTTTATATTTTTTACTTTTTTACTGCAATTTTATAAACAAATTGAATTTTTTATATTAAAAAAATAAGTCTTAGGTACATTTTAACTATTTATGTAATAAATTAATTAGAGTTTATATTAAATTAACAACTTTTAATATGTCCATCAAAACCTTATATGTCCACGGTAAAAATATATTATAATTGCCATTCATAACAAGTCCCATTTAAATTTAAAAGAAACATTATAATTACGTTTGAAAAAATTTTAAAACCTAAAAGTAATAATTTATGTAATCTACAGAATATTTTACAAATAAATCAGTTGCAACACCGAAAAACAAAAATCTACAACTCAAATTATTTGGTGTAGAATAATTTAAAATCTTAAAACTGCTCTCCCGAAAAATTTAGTGTTTGGGACATACAACTTTTGGCTTCTTAGCCATCGATATAAGTACAGTGTACACAGTATTAGTGTTTGAAGTATGTGAAATATTTCATTTTGAAATATTTCACTAAGTTGTGAAATATTTCACAAAAACGTGAAACATTTAAATTTTTTTAACAAAAATAAAAACACAATTTATTTATTTTTTAACACAATGTTCAGTGTTCTAAATTCTAATGTCAGAATTCAGTAAGTATAAAATATACATGTATAATATTGTATACCTACTTATATCATTTAAACATTAAAATATTTAAAAATTTTGAATACCAATTTAAATGTATAATACCAAAGGTTAGGTATACATACAGGTACCATATAGTGATGAAGGTAATTTATGACAATTATATGTAAATATAAAACTTATTTAAAAATAAAACAAAATCTATTAAAATACTGAAATATTTCACATATTTTGAAATATTTCATGAAATATTTCATTTTTTTAAATTTCATGAAATAAGTAATATTATAGTAATATAATATAATAGTAATATTATAACGCGAATGTTCCGAATCGTAAATATAAAATATTAATAATATTATCTATCGCAGTTAGCTACCTTTTATTAGTTAACCTCTTCCCGACCTAGTGGTGTCCGATATTATATTATCGGCTTAAAATATATATATATTATTTTTTTATAACGATACTAAAATTATTACATTATACTCGGTTAGTAATTTTCATCTGTCCAAATGGTTGTAGTTTTTTTAACTCTTCAAAGTTTCAAAGTGCAATATTAATAACGACGAATCATATTATACTACACGGCAATAAATTATAATATTTACACGCCCTTTTTTTTCTAGTCATCTAGCATAGTTCATAAAAAATTTAATGCGGGTATCCCGTATACATCTGCCACCAGCTTTCGTTGTTTTTATGTTACCGAACACTGAATATGTGGAAAAAGTCTAAAATTCGTCAGGGAAACGCCCAAAAATTGGAAAATATCCGAATAAAAAAATATATATATATTTGAGGACATTGCGGTCTATCGGAGCCAGTCACAAACAGCGCTTTCGGTTAGACACACACACTCTCCACCCTGCACATGCACACACGGTTTTGAGCTTACTGAGCCGAACACACGACAAGCGCGCGTATCGATTTCAATAATAATTCAATTAATTTTAAAGTCCAAATCTAAAATTGAAATCATATTTTCTGTCCGACTGTGATTTTCAGACGATCGTCGACATGCCGCCGTGAGCGAACGCCGTGTTGGTGACGTCGGCTGACTACGGCGGTGCGCGTGTGGCGGCCGGACCGGAAACGGTCGGACGATGTAGTCGGTGGCCCGGAAACAGCGGCGACGGAAGTCGCAGAAGACGTGCGGAGGAGGAGAAGAGATCCCGAAAGATCGGCGACAACAAAATGTTCGCGGCAGTGGCTGCGGCTGCAGCGGCGGTCAACGATACGACTGAGACGGCGACAACCACGGCGACCGTCACAGCGACCTCGGCGACCGCGACCACGGTGGCCGCGACGACGGCGTCCGACGCTCTGGCCACGGTGGCCGCGATTGGAGCGACAGCGATTTCCGGCGGCGCCGTGGACGGACTTCTAGACAACCTGGCCGACCAGGCGTGGTTCTGCGCGTACGTGGCCAAGTGCGCGGCCATGTGCTTCATAGTGGTGGCCGCTCTGTTCGGCAACCTGCTGGTTATGGTGAGTGTGATGCGTCACCGCAAGCTGCGCGTCATCACCAACTACTTCGTCGTGTCGCTGGCCCTGGCCGACATGCTGGTGGCCATATTCGCCATGTGCTTCAACGCCAGTTTCGAGATGACCGGCCGCTGGATGTTCGGCCGGTTCATGTGCGACGTCTGGAACTCGATGGACGTGTACTTCTCCACCGTGTCCATACTACACCTGTGCTGCATCAGCGTAGACAGGTACTACGCCATCGTTCAGCCCCTCGACTACCCGCTGATCATGACCAAGTCCCGTACCGTGGTCATGCTGGCGTCCGTGTGGGTGTCGCCCGTGCTCATATCGTTCGCGCCTATATTCGCCGGCTGGTACACGACCGCCGCTCACGATCGAGACAGGGTCCGTCACCCGGACGTGTGCGCGTTCGTCGTCAACAAGCAGTACGCTGTCGTGTCTTCCGGCGTGTCGTTCTGGGTGCCCGGCGTCATCATGCTGTTCACTTACTACCGCATCTACCAGGAGGCCGACCGACAGGAGCGAATGCTCTACAGGTGCGTACCACTCGCTTACACCACACCCTAGTGCATGCAACCCATGGCCCGCCTTGTCTTCATTTGAGCCCCGCTAGTACTTTATACTTAAGCATAGCTTGTATTTTTTAATAACTCGTTTTTATCACGAATACTGTTATTTAAAAACAATAGGTGGCCCTCCCTTCCAAGCCCTCTGCCGTTTTGAAGTGTATTTTACAATTTTTTAACAACCATAGTACTGTTTATCAGAATATAAATATAATATATAATTTCATTATTATTATTATATTTTTTCTCCCTTCTCTTTTGTTTTTAAAGATAAGTACTCTTGTTCTACGTCAGTGTGTAGGGCAATATTTCTAGTAGTATTCAGCTATTATAATATCTACCTGTAATCTCTATTATGTTTGAGACTTATCATTTGAGCAAATTTCAGCTGAGTACTGCAAAATAGCAACATTCACATTTAAATTATTAGGAAAGTGTTATAATATTAATTATAACACTATTTTATATTATGAATCGTACAACAAGTGTTTTGGGTACCCATTTGTATAGTATTTCGTTTTAGATTTTTTTAGATTAATTTAAAAACAAATACACTTTTGTCGACGGTTACCGTTGGTAAATGTGCGCACGCAATTCGAAAATTGAATGTACTACTCTTTTGTTTGGTCGTACTTCTTATAATTAATACTATACGATTAAGTGTTAATACAAGACACGGAAGATGAGTGCTATGGTTGTGTTTGCCGAGACAGAGAATGCTTTAGCGACAGAACTGCGTGTGTACGAAACACTGTAGTACTTTCAACACAGTGATACCTAGTTTAGACAGTTTCGTATAATTATGACCACTGTTGAAAACCAAAAACAATATACCTATGTACACATTATATTATTAACCACGTGTTTACATAATAATTTTATTTACCTAATTCGTTTTTAACAATGTACACTATATGACGTATAGTACCCTCGAGTTATAATTCAAATTAACGTACATTAGTTCCAATATAATTTTGTACTTAAGATATTAAAATATATCGTAATGTTTCTAATGTGTCCAACTTGCAATTTGTTCGTATTGGTAAGTTATTAAGTTTATAATAATAACACCTACCTAATAATATATACTATATTATGGTTGACAATGATAAACGTTTTATCTTTCGCAAAAACTGTTTGTTCGATCCTATGTTTATATAGTACATTATTTATTTATAATTAATTTACGCTCGGCTGGGTTAAAATACGAAGTAATCAGTTTTAAAAAAATACTATAGTTTAACAAAATTACACAATTTTAGAGTATAAAATTCTACATGGTAATGCAATTATATTATACGCGAACACCCGAATAACATCAGATGTAATCAACATTTACAAGAGATGGTATAAAATTCAAAAAAAAAAAATTAAATAATAATCATAATATTTTACCTCACAAAATCTTCTATTCAAAATCCTTTTATGTAATACCACCATTGGGGTAGGTGATACCATCATAATATATCACAACACATCATCCGATATCAGTCTTATAATATTATTATCAATCATTTACTCACCTAATCATTTATTGACGAAGTTCTATCAGCGCACTGCTAAAGTATAATAATGTGGCACTTAGTGAAACATTTTTTATACGTAATATTATTTCAGAACAAACTATGATTTCTAACTGTTGTGTAAATTTACACAAGCTTAATTTTTATTTTAATCGATTTTGTTGAAATTGTTTACGCAAGCGGTACCTAGTCACACATATAATTTGGAGTTGTATAAACTACAAATGTAGTCGAAGTCAATGCCAAACACATTTTCTCGTCGATTTTAGCTCAGAACTTCAGGACGGTTGTTTTCATATTATCATATTATTCACACTAAAATGTTCTCCTTGGAAGTTGGAATTAATACAACAAAAGATTTCGTTCTAAATTAATATTATTTCAGTCGTTCCTTTTTGTTATCTAATGTTATTATAACATAATTTAAGTATGTTGTTGTTTGTGATACCCTATGCAGGTTGTATTGAACTCTATTTTAATGATTATTTTTACAAACAAACAAACAATCATGGTGATAGAACAGCATAAAACTTAAGCTTAAAAGACTATTATGAATATAACTATCATATCGTTCTCTAAAACCTCAACTTATCAGCATCTGTATTTTTCCATTTCATAGTAAAGTTACCAAATTATATTTTTTCTACTTATGTCTTAATTAATTACCTTTCAAATATAAATCGCGTATACTTTTCACACGAAAATATTGTTCTGTTATGATTCTTATACTTGTTGGTGAATCTTGAATGTATTCAATTCATTAATATTCATCCCGTTAACCATGGAGGAAGTAGATATTAAATACACATGCTTCTTCATTATTGCCTCCCAATTTAAATTACTTAAGTTTTGATACAAAACATCTTGTAGGTATTTAAGAAGAATATGGTATATGTATGTTCAAACGAATTATAAGAACCCCATCAGACTGATACTTAACACTAATTGATAAATTAATTCGATGTAATCATAACATATTATGGTAGGCTGATACATCTAATTTTAATATGGTTGCGCAAAAAATCAAAAAAAAAGAAATATGGTGATCCTTCGTGTGGCAATAACCAGCTTTATGAAATTCATTTAACATGTGAAGTTTAAAAGAAAAAAGATTTCAATTTAAAAAGATTTTATCAATTAAAACTAGATGAGAATGTTTTAATATGATTAATGTTTCTTATAGTTTTTTTTTTTTAAACTTAAGAATAAAGTTACATACGTATACCTCATTGATGAAAATTTAATCGAATAAAGTTTCCAAATTAATTAAATTAATGTTTATTTTTTAAATATTATTATACCGATAAAAATTGTAAAGCTCCACCAATAACTCTGACGTATTTTATATTGAAAATATTTCAAATCTAATAGCATCATTATACAATATAAACTATTATAAGTACCTACTACCTATTATTCATCATCGATATTGTAAATATTGGTGTGTTAATATACGTAAACATAAAATGCCACACAAATATAATATGATATAATATGATCGGCCACTTACACTTCATGACGTTTGAAATTATTTTGACAAAAGACGACTGTACAGTGTACACTAAAATTACTTCGAGGAAAGAATATTTCAAAAAGCATAAATTCTAAAATTATTATATCTGAATAGGTATTGAGAAAATTACAGAAAAAAAACTGTTTAAATTCCGGCAACATTGTATATTATTATAAATGTATAAGACAATGGTTTGATGGACATTTTTGGATCACCTTGCACTTTATTATACTTTAATAATTCTATAAATAATACTTAAAAAATGAAAAAGTGAGAGTATTAGGTATACTTACTCTTAAAGTGCCTAAGTATTATTTCAAAGAATATTTCAGATTGATTTTTTTAACTCTTATTCGTCTTGCAATATGAGTGCAGTACCTACTATAAAAAAAGGATCTTTTAAACTTTTCAATAAGCTCTAAAATAAAAAATAAAATACATTTTTAACGTATACTGAACTCTGTCGTAATGGAAAACGGTTTATTACAACTAAAACGATGACTTCCAACACGATAAGTACTGTTATAGTATGAATAATATTTGAATTTAGATTTTGCGATTCAAACACATACTTAGATTGAGAAATAACTATTGAATTTATTACTTACATTATATACCTATGTTAAGTCAAAAAAAAAAATTATTCCTCGTTGTATTTATCCATTTAAACTGATTAAAACAATATAAGAAATGAAATCATTTTTCCCAACAAGATGAGAGAGAATTATTAAAAATAACAATTAAAACTTTCATAAAAATACACAAAAGTTTTTTTTCTAATTTAAATTATTTCACGTAATATGGTTTTTTTTAAAATTATCATATAATATGAAAATTGTAAAATGTAAAATGAATGTAAAATAATATGTTGTATGTGTATTATATTACACTAATTTAATCAATTTGGAAAAGTGTAATACAAAAACTATAAATGTGTTTACCTGCATTATAGTGTGCAGACAACTATATCAATTGTTATAAGACATAACATAATTATAATAATTACGCTAACTACAAAAATTAAAAACTTTTTTGGTATTTGCTTTTTTATTAAGAATTGGCTGACAACTTTTATTTGATCTTAAGTTTATCAAAAATATTGTAATACTTAATTTAAAATGTAATTTCATTTTGCTGTAGGGAAGAACATAGGATGTTTTTACTTACCTCGGTAATATGCTTACAAGATATAAAAATAATAAAATCTCAACAAAAATGTAATGTTTACAGAAAAATCACAAGTGTATCATTCACCTAAATTGTAGTTATATTATATTGAAATTTGATATTATATTATAACATAGGTAAGTATAAAGTAGGTTAACATAATGACAGCTAATAGCCATAGTCGATGGGCTTGAATTCAATTCAAAAAAAATAGTTTATTATAATATCCACTAGAACAGCATACAACTTATTATTCCTAGTAAAACATTGTATAATAAAACGTTTCTATTGTTAACAATTTGAAAAAATTAGGTTTGAATTTTTTATAGTCAGTTGTTCATTTTGTTCGATATAATGTATTGTACGTAAACTCAATTTTAACATTAAAAATGTCACAATGAGCATAATGTGCGACTTAAATAGAAAATTGTTTAGGTTCTTCATTGTCCGTTTCTTTAGAATTGGTTTCAACAAAGCTTTTTTTTTTAAAAAAAAAAAAGAGTGTTACACAACTTATGAAGAATACTGAATGTATTTGATACCAGTAAGACTTTGTATTTACCATTGTACATGGTTAGTGTAATTATATTCATTATAAATTAATTGTATAGGATTGTCTGTGATATTATAATATTATGTATTAGGTGGGACAACGAATATACTTTTAAATCTTTAAATGTTAAATAATAACGAACTTTGAGCAATTATAATGACATTATTTCCCATGCGTATTACATAAATATTATATATCTCTCTTGATTGAAAATAATAAAATATTTTATTGGCTTTACTATTTGA